CTTCGACAACGCACATAACAACATCCAGACTTACCTTCTTGCTCGCAATGAGCGGTGCCACCTTCTTCGCCGCAAACACTGCATATCACAAGAACCACTTGTCAACACTCCGAATACTACACTGCAGCGCGTATGCATCTTGAAGCATGAAACCAACCCTTCAGGTCATCCGACGCAGCTTTTTGCTGCTCATCATCGGACGCGTTCTCATCCCCAGGCGCAGCATCCTCATTCATTGAGAACGCGGAGGAGATTGGTGCCTTCTTGGCGGACGCCAGACTGATCGACATCGCCCCGCCAGCCTTGCTCGTCAGACCGCCCTTGAGGCTCAAGGTGACTGGTTTGTCGGAGACGGGAAGAGCAGAAGCCTCCGCGGGACGGTCAGGCTGTGCGTGCGAGTCACCTTCATTGCATGTCAAGATCAGCGTGAGCGCCCAGCTTCGACATGAAGGTGCCAACCTTTCGCGCGCCGCCTCTCTTTCTTGTCTTTGGCGGGCGCAGCCGAGGCCTGCTGAATAGGCTCGGCAACTTCGAACTCCAGTATGGCAGCAGTGGAACCCTCATCCCAATACCTCACCCACTGCCCTTCCACACCGCCAAGGGCTAGGGAAGACATCATGCATGCCTCGTCTTTCAACGCAAAGTCAGAGATGGGCTGGAACGACTCGGGGTGGGCGAATGACGCGGCCACTGGACGGTCCGAGATACGGAAGCCATTAGGGTGGATTTGCGGCGACATTGTCAGCCCTAGAACAGTCGACGCGGACTATGTAACCAGTATCAAACACGTCAGAGGTCTCCAAAGAGTGTACTACGCACCTGCACGTCGACGAATTCGACGAACGCGAAGCCCCAGCTAGCCATGGTGACCTTGTCCTTGATGAGTATAATCCGACGCATACCCTTCGCGCCGTCCTTCCCTGGGCCGGAGGCATTCTTCATAGCTTGTGCGATGGCCTGCGGCCCCGACAGAGGGTCTAGTCCGCGAAAGAGCAGCACGGGTGCCTGTATGTTGCCGATATCCCGCATGCCCTCGTTCGACTGCATCGGCCCCCGCCCTCTGCGTTCATTCGGGCTCGCGCTTTGCGAGTAGTCGATCTTCACCCGCCTACCTCCAGGCGGCGCGGGCACGCCGGCTTCGAGCGCGGTGTAAAACGCCTTCGCGGCGGACGCACCGTGGGACGCGGGTGGAGGCACCTGGACGAACGGGAAGAGTGGGTCGACGAACGCGCGTGCGTGCGCGATGCTTGTGAATTGGGCGAAGCCGAAGCCTTTGGAGAGACCTTGAGAACATGAAGAGCCAGACGCGGAAAGAAGAGAACGTCAATGCGCTGCATGAATGGCAGGGACGAAGGGGCAAGTGCCTGTTGTTCTGTCTCGGATGATGGTCACTGTCTCGACGCTACAACTGTTGCTGCTCAGGTACGCTTGAAGCTGGTGGCCCGAACATGAACGCTTCGAAGTGCGGCAGAAGGGCGGCACTCACGTCTGCTTCAGTGAAGTCTGGGTCGAGGCCAAGGAAGATGACGTGGGGACTTGGCTCGCTAGGAATGAGCCGTTTCTTGGCATACGCCCCGCCTCCGCCGCCCCGTTGATAGTGGCCTTCGACGGTGTGGTCTTGGGCGTAACCTTGGCCGTGGGTTGGGTCGTATGCGCTTTCGTCGTAAATGTGGTCATAACCTTGCGTGGCATCGTAGCCCTGCCACAAACGTCCTGAGAGGGTAGCCAGCATACACAGTGCGTTTGCGTACCCCATTATTGAATTTCCTGCGCTTGCCGTCACCGTAGTACTCATCGTCTCTTGGATGCATGGCGCCTTGAGGGCCCTGGTACTGCCAAGGGGAATCAGTTTGCTTCCCCTTGTCCCATTCGCGATTATACGACATGATGTAACCAAGTCGTGTGCGTGAACGCAAGAAGCTAGTCGGACCGAGGCGGAGAATGTGGTGGTGCGAAGCAGAGAAGTGCGCGGCTATATCGAGCGCCCGGTGGCAGGTCTCTCACCTGGCCCGAACCGGACACTCGACTTGACCACCTACCACACCCAAACTCATCATGGCTGGCCACGGTATGCGTTTCTTTGTTCTGAGCGACTGAATACTGATCTCCGCATCGGGAAACAATAGGTTACACGAAAGTTAGTCATACGTTGCCCATCACTACGTAGACATACTCACCCGTTCACCGCCCTTAGCTCGATCCCGCCGTCGAGCGATGGAACCAAATGGTATGCCATGCACCGAGATATCGTCGCAGACACAAGTTAACCCCACCCGTATAGCGGGAGACCGCGTACCAACGGTTCAGGTTCACACCCCGCTCAACGATACAAGTCCTTTTCGGTATGATCATCTTTCCCGCAGCCATCTACTGGACGGCAAGCAACCAGGATGTCTGTCACTGTCTCCGCTCCCTTCGTCCGTCGACTGACTTAGTGTTCTACAGCTGAAGTGGAACTGGACTGGGAAGCTCAAGAACGAGTCGCTCGCTCGCGTACCTCCTCCTTCGGAGGAGTCGGTGTAGGCGAATCCTGTACCATCCCACAATCTCAAACCAGCCATTATCCATTAGAGTAAACTAAGACCTCTACACGTCACTGCTTGCCCTCCACATCAAATGCGCTTGCACAGCTCGATGGCAACCTTGCAACCCGCTCCTACAACGGTGCTTAGGAGGGCGTGTGCTGGCGCCCGCTGTGAATGATTATCCACTGCGATATCCAAATGCTCAAGCTCGTCGTCTCTGAACTCCTCCACGACAGACTTGAGGACTGGCACGCAAGGATGGTCAGCCGGTAGGTGCTCGAATTCGTTGAGCTGACTGTCCGCAACGTCAGCAGGATCGGACGAGAACGGGGTGAGGGTAAGCTGACTCGTCATAATGCTCGCCGATGACTGTCTCCACTGCTTCGGTACACGCCATAGCAGCCTCTTTGCCCATGAGCGCGGTGACGGCCCCCAGTGCGAAGCCTCCGGCACGAGCGACCTCCCAGAGAAGGGTAGGGCGCACTCGGTGCTGGTCTTGCATCTTGTTCATGACAGCAAGGTGCTTCTTCTCTTGGTCCCACATGTCCTATCGTACCCGAGCCAGTATCTTATCAGATACGCCGTCCACGCCACGAGAAGCCGTGTTCTTGCCTGAATGAGGGGCCCTGTGACAGGATCCCTTCCGAGAACGGCCTTCTGGCCCATATAGATATAGTTTGCGGCCAGTTCTCCGGCCTGATCCACACGTAGTGCACGGTCGAGCGCACGCCTCTGTTGTTCGGGTAGATCCTCTGGTGTTGTAGTGACTGCCGGGTCCGTAGCGGCCGTAGGGTCAAAGTAGATGGACGAAGGAGTCGACCTGGGCGGGTGGCTGCCAATGTATCTCCTCGGTGTCTGCAACAACTTGGGTTTCACTCTGCAGCACGCGCGAAGCATGACGGCCCTAGGCTATGACAGGCAGAGATGAATACGGTCGTCGACGGTGAGCGAGTTACAGCGCAAGCAGTGGCGCAGCTCAAGCCTCAGTGACCCGTTCACCGGCACCGTTCATCGGGGACGGCAAGATCACGTGCCTCGATCACTGTCTCCAGAGCAGCGCGACTTGGCGACCAACTCAACCTTAATTTCATCGCGTTCTCCCACCACCCTTTCAACTTTCATCCGTCTCAGACTATGTCTTCCACGTAAGTTCCCAAGCTTAATGGAAGTGCACCAAGTTCTGAGTTACACTAGCTTCACGCCGTCGTCTGCCATAGACCCAGAGAAGGAGCGCGACTGGGCCGCGAACCTCGGTATGCCACTCCTGCCTTCGCCATGCGAATCGCAATACGAAACCTGTAACCATCCCCAGGGATGCTCGACTGGGACAAGACCCAGATTGTCTTCTCAAAGCGAACCCTCCTCGAGTTCCTCAAGTAAGTCCGCCACATCCCGTCTTCCCTCGCACCTCGCAACGCGCCGCAAATCCCCCATTAAGATATCGAGCACAGGTACGCCGGCGTGACAGTCGACCCGAACTTCACGAACATCCAGAAACTTCCTCGTGAGCCCCTTTGTCGCGTCTTACCTCGAAGCAGCTGAAAGGCATGTCAAGGATACGCCCGCTTCGGGACCCTCTCTGGGGAGGTTGAGGCTCCGGCCGAAGCTTCTGCTGAGGCGGAACCTGTTGGTCAAGGTAAGCTGACAACCTCTTTGCTTGTCCCCGAATACTGCAATGGCTGATTGACGCACGTAGCAATAGCGCAGGCGGACAATGCCTATCGTCCTTCTCGCCGTGTCCGCACCGCACCAGGCGGTGGCCACACGGACATCTTTGGCAGTAGCGCCGACGATGCGCTCGCTGGTGCACCCCCTCGTCCGGATCCGGTACGTCTCTTCCTCCCGGCCTCCACACTCATCTTTCGACCCCTTCTTGCAGTCGCCCGGCGTAGCCTCCCCAGTTGTGACAGTCGAGACCATCCCCAGACCCGCAGAGGATGGGGCAACGGAGGCTCGTCCAAGGTTGGCAATGTGATCTAAAACGCTACTGCGCCACTACTAACTAAACTTCGGCGACAGAGGACAGCGGAACAAGTCTTCTGGCATCAGCGGCCTGTGGGATGAACCTGAGAAGTCGGAGTTCAAGCCCACCCGTCGGTAAGTGTTATGAGTGTCTGTGCCGTTTCTTCCCCTCATGATGCGTAGTGTCCGCGAGATACCCGGAGGCAAGGACAGCATATCATCAGTAAGCGCGCCTCGATGCCTACACTGATCATGGTCCACTGACCACACACCTCAAGCTGTTCTGATTACTGGATCATACGGACCCGATCCTACTGCTGTGTGCCGACTACGTGCTGTGAGTATGTTGGGTTCCTAGCGACTCGTCTCCTTGAGTGTGTTGTAATGAGAAAGTGCAATGTGTGTGTATCAACGGGAAAAATGAAATGATGGGATTGAAAAAGCGTGCAAAGCAGCGATATGTTATTCGTCCCTAGTTACTGAGAGGAACCTCGCACAAAAAGGTAACACACTTGGTGGCGGCGAGGTTCGAACTCGCGCGGACTCACGCCCATGGGGAAGCAAGATTATCTTATCTTAAATCCCACGCCTTAGACCAACTCGGCCACACCACCAGCCCAAGATATGCCCTAGATTGTGCTATGATATGCCAGCGGCATTAGCGCCCAACAATATACAGTGCCAGTGGTTTCACGGTTATACGCTTTCTTGGCCCTATGAGTTCGCACTCAAGCTCTACTGGAGCCCACGATTGACATACGCACGGTGCATTGCAGAAGATACATCCATTGTGTAGACCAGTGAAACATTAGTGAGCAAACGTCATCCGTAGAAGTTCCAGAGCTTGATATCCCCGTCATCACTGCCTGACACAATCTTATCCTCCCCAAGAGCAAGACACGTTACGGCACCGCGGTGCCCAACCAGAGTCGCCGTACACCGGCCCTCCTCGCGGACCCAAACCTACAGATGATCATATAAGCACTGGACCTCAATCACACGAGAAGCGGAAAGTACACGCCTTAATGGTGCGATCGTGACTGCCGCTCACGAGCCGCAGCTTGTCGCTCGCGACCGCCCACACTCCCTCGATATGGCCGAAAAGCGTCTTCGTCGCCTTCCCCGAGTCGATGTCCCACAGCCGGATGGTGTTGTCCAGGCTCCCAGAGATCAGCACGCGTTTCTGGCGTTTCGCGGACGCGCGGGGACCCACCCGGGTGGATGACGATGAGGGAGAGGGGGAGGGGGTTCGCGACGGGTGTGAAACGAAGGCCTCAGATCCTGGGTCCGATGCGTCCACGACGTACCCGGCAGGGGCGTCATCCGCGCTAGCACCATCGGGGATAGCAGTCGTAGCCTCACTTACGGCAGGCCGCTGCGTATCGGAAGCATCTGACCCGTCCACGACAGCGTCGTCCTCGTCACTGCTCTCTTCGTCCAGGGTCAGAAGCTTTAGACTTTGTACCTGCCCCACGTGTCCCTTGAATATGCGTACACAACTCCGTAAGGCCAGATCCCACAACCTGATCGTCCCATCGTCCGACGCCGAGAATAGCATCTTCCCTACATCCGGCTGGTACGGATCTGAGGAGCCTACGTCCGGAGTGGAAGGAGGCGTAGTAGAACACCCCGCAGGCGCGTTGCGATCCCATAGCTGGACCGCATTCACCCAGTCCGAGTGCCCGCGGAGCGTGAAGCACTCCCCCGTCTTGAGGTTCCACACCTTGACCGTCGTGTCAACACTCCCGCTGGCAAGCAACGTTGAGTCAAAGTTTAGGCAGACGACGCCCTCCGTGTGGCCCTCGAGCGTACGAAGGCACTGGCCCGTGCGCCAGTTCCAGACCTTCATCGTATGGTCCATGCTGCCCGTAATCAGCTTCACCGCGTCGAACTGCAGCGCGCGCACGGCACGCGTGTGGCCGGTGAGACAGTGCACCTCAGTACCCGTCTCCAGGTTCCATACGCGCGCGGTACGGTCGTACGAGCCGGTAATGAGGACAGGGAACGCGGGATGAGAGAGCGTCTCATCAAACTGGAGACACATGACGCCATCGGTATGACCTTGCAGTGTGCGTACAGTACATCGGCCACGTCGCCAGTTGCGCTCGATGCGAAGCCGTTCGCAGTAGACGTCCTTCCAGGGTCGCGTAAGAGCCTGGGAAGTGGAGGAGGGCCCAGGGACAGGAGGAACGAATGGAGGGGATGCAGGGCGTTTGGTCGATGAGGAGGCGGTGGTCGGGGTTGAAGTCAAAGATGCAAGAGCATGCAAGAGGGGTATGGGTGAAGACCCCCCGTCACGACGTTGTCGTTTCGCTGGAGGTCCAGTCACGGAAGTATCCGGTGTAGCGACGCGCTTGCCCCGCGCAACTGTGCTCTCATCGTTCGGAGGTGAAGGCGACCGAGTCGACGGCATGCGTATCATCCTCCGCTTCTCCAGAATAGGTAGACCCCAGCCGCACTTCAAGCACTTTTGTCCGATATGCTGCTCGCAGATCCCCCGCCAGAGCAAGTCGTCGTCTGCCAGGGACTTCCACTGCTTGCTAACCTGGGCAGCGCGACACAACGACGTCGCATCTAGGTAGCCTAGGACTCGGAGTGCGACCTCTCGGGGGATGACGGCGAAGGGATCAAGACGGATCAGATGGGCGAGTTGTTCAGAGAGGAGGGAGAGTTGTGAGAAGCAGCACATGGTGAGCAGACCCTGGAGGATGAGGGCGCGCCGCGGGTGGGGCGATGAGGAGAAATTTGACCAGACAGCATTGACAGCTTCTCGTTCCTCTACTCGGAGTGCATCGAGTGCCTGCGAACTGGTCAGCACGGAAAGGTCTGTAGCTAGATTACGGGCGAGCCACCACGGCGACAGTACCAAACGGCCGGACGGATGTTCCTCGGGTCGTATTCACCTCGGACAAAGACCCGAGCATCCCGGAGCCGTCCTCCATTATCCTAATTCACGTCCGAAAGGACTCTATCGCGTGTGTGACCTGCCCGCAAAAGCCGGAGCAGAGACTCACCTGCTGCAGTTTCAAGTTCGTTCCTTCGTCCGCCATCCTCTGGTGCCGCACACATAGCTTCCTCGCTGGAGGCTGGATATAGTCCGCGATGGCCTGCGGAGGCACGACCGGCTTGGTTACGAGCTGGAGAGCCGGGATGTCCACGATGGGTGCTTCAAAGGCGGGTACGGGGGGAGTGAGCGATCGCGCGTGAGGAGTGGGCGACGCGGAGGCGATGCGAGCAGGAGGCAAGGTATCGCAGAGATAGGAGGACTTGGAGGCCTCTGCAGCCATGGCTGGGACGGTAAGCGAGTAGGTGGCGGGACGGAGGAAAGGGAGGCCTTGGTTATAAACATGCTCAGCCTCCGAACTGCTGTGGCGGATAAGCGCCGGAAATACGCCTGTCGCGCGAAGGATTGGCGACATCGCGCTCCATCACGCCATCCCCGCCTCACCGAGTCACCCATACTCAAGTCACTCATAACCGCCAACGCTCGCAAATCTCGCCGAAATTCATACTCACACTCACCCGCACAGAGCGTCATAAGCATTCGCACACGTTCGCACACGAGCAGTTGCACATTCGTATTTCGAGAGCGAGGGGGCTTGCATCACCATTCATGACAACATAGTGTACTAACAATCATACTCATGCAACACAACGCCAGTCCTATCCGCACCAGAGGGCATCAAGCATAACACATACAACGGGAAGCGAGGCAGGTGATGCTCAACGCAAGATATATATATGGCGACGGTGGGACGTACGGGCAGTTGGACAGACAGGGGACAAAACAGACAAAAACCATGACTACGGAAAGTCCCATGCACCGGGCGACGGGCCCATTAATCCAGAGAGATGCGCAGCTGCTCCAGCGGTATCGGCACGAACTTGTCGAGGTTGATACCCCGCGAGGCCAGCTCCGATTCGCACCATGACGGTACCAGCTGTCGCATCAAATCTGGCCGCACAGACAGCTCTATAGAATAGTGAACAACTCGTTAGCCAATCCTCATCCACAGCGACATGCCCCAGCGCGATGACGCCAGGACAATGACCAAGCGCTGCATTACGCACCCTCTCGAGTGAAATCAAACAGTGGCGGGAAGTCCTTGCCGTTGGGCATCCGCGCGCCCTGCACGCGCAGCTCGTCGAAGAAAGGGTGGCACATCGCCTGCACCGCGCTGAGACGCGCCTCTGGGGTGTACTCGAGTAGCTTCGAGACGAGGTCGATCGCTTCGGGCGCTGTGCGCGGACGGAAGACCTGGCGCACGAGCACGTCAGTAGACGCCCAAGGTCGCGCGACGATGCGATTACCTTCGAGAACGGATGCGGCTTGATCTGAGGGAACTTGTGCTCCATGTAGTTGGGATTCATCGTCTTGATCTGCTCCCGTGAGGGCGTTCCCAAAACCTTGATGATTTCCACCAGCTGATCGATACCGCTCTCCCCGGGGAAGAGTGGTTGGCCAAGCATCAGCTCCGCCATGACGCACCCCGTCGACCAGATATCTGCGGACCTGCGTCAGCGCCAGACACGCGAGCTGTGACGAACACATGCTTACCGATGTTGGTCGTGTAGTTGGTGGCCCCGAAGATGAGCTCGGGTGCGCGGTAGTACCTCGAGCAGATGTAGCTGACGTTGGGCTCGCCAGCGACGAGAATCTTGGCAGACCCGAAGTCGCAGAGCTTGAGGATGCCGGTAGCGGGGTTAAGGAGGAGATTCTGCGGCTTGATGTCCCGGTGGCAGATGCCGATGGAGTGGATGTACATGAGAGAACGGAGAAGCTGGTACATGTAAAGTTTGATTTGCAGCATAGGCATGGGCTGCTTGAGTTTGGCATAGTGACGGCTAGCGCGATACACGGTCTCGGGGACGTATTCGAGAACAAGGTTGAGGTACACTTCATCTTTCTTTTGCGACTAGGGTCAGTACCGAATGCTCTCGTCCGGATCCAGGCGCAAGCGGAAGGGGGCCAGAGACGTACCTTCTCGCCATTAGAATAGAAAAATGCCTTGAGGTCCACCACATTGGGATGTGATACCAGCCTCATGATCTGAAGCTCACGGTTCTAGCCAAGGGGGAAGCATGAATGACACGGTGCGTAGGCAGCGCGGATCATGAATGTTGGACGCACCTTGAACCGCTTGTCCTGAAGGACCTTCTTGATGGCAATCTCGGAGTTGCTTTCCGACTCATCAAGGAGCTTGGCCTGAAAGACGATTCCGAAGGAGCCATTGCCGATGACCTTGCAGTTGGTGTAAACGAGGTCCTTGACGTCGCCGGTCTTGCCATCGGAGGCGACGACGCGGACGATCTTGCGAGGGTCATCGACGGCTGAGGAGAAAGGCGGGTCAGGATGGATGGAGAATTTGCAGTTGGAACGGTGAGGAGAATCGTAGGGATTGTCGGGAGGAGGGCAAGCGCAGGGGGCCCGGGTGTCGATCGACATGGCGGATGGTGAGAGATCAAGGAGGGTTAAGAGTGGACGTACGCGATATCTTTACACCATTTATGGGGGTGTGAGTGGCCATTTGGACAGGCGTAGATGGTAGGGATACAGGTTATTGGTTCGTTGGCTCGTGAAGGAGCGGAAGCAGGGGAGAGACGGGTACAGAGG